GGGGGGGGAAAGGGGGGGATGCTGCTTTTCTAGTTTTTCATTCTTTGCCCTGTTCCTTGTTCATTTTCTTCATTTTCATCCTTCGGTTCTGAAACCAGATTTTGACTTGTCTCTCACTCAGGTTGAGGAGTCTGGCCACTTCGTGTCTACGGTCCCTCGTCAGGTACATATTGAATAAAAACTCCTTCTCTAGTTCCAGGGTCTGGTATTTGGTGTACGGGCATCGTTTTTTCCTGGAGGAGCGGGCGTGAAGCCAGCTGGCAGCTGGGTTGGCTGAAAGAAAAGCAGCAAGATCAATACGGTGCAGCTTGAGTATTTCTCCGAAGGTTTTAATCATGCCATCAAATATTAAGATTATACATACGCCTGGGCACGCCCGGGTGAAAAATGCTCCCTGCCGGAGGAGTCGGGAGCAGAGGCCGTGTGAAAACCCGGCGGGATCGCCAGGGCGAGCACAAGCCGTGCAGATTGGGGGGGGGGTTTCGATCCCGACCCCCCGCCACACCCGCACCCCGTCCCTCCCGAGTGAGGGAGGGGGCGCTGGGACCCCCCGCTCTGTGTGTGTGTGTGTGCCTGTGCACCCCCACGGCCGTGCGCACACGCGTGTCTGTGCTCACACATGTGGCCTGGCGGTGCTCACACGTATGTTTGGGTGCACACGTGCCCCTGGCAGAGCTCCCCCCACTTTTCCCCGGGTCCTTCTGTGCCGAGTAAACACCCACACGCACTCCGAGATTTGCATAACGCCCATCTGCACAACATATACAAAGAAACAAAGGCAAAAATTATAGATATTTTTCTTTTTGGACGTGTTTTCCCACGTGTCTGCATATTCACTCCTATGGACACAGCGCGCAGGAAAAGAGCAGGGAGAAGCTCTGGAGAAACCGTTCATAAATCCTGACTATTCTCTCTCTTTTTTTTTTTTTTTTTTTTTTTTTTTTTTTTTTTTTTTCTCTGTGGCAAGAAACGGTCTCGATACAATAAACATCCTCTGAGGGCTGGACGGGCTCTGCTGCCGGAGATCTGGACAGTGTCACCCAGAGACACGGACATTTGCAGGGCTGCAAACGCGGCCAAAAATAAATGCGAGGCTGCCCGCCGCCCTCACGCGTGGGAGAAGTTACGTGGGAACCTTTCGCGAAAAGGACATTTCAGGAATTAGCCTGTTCAAGCGGGAGGGGGGGAACGACAACATTTTGGGAACAGAAACCACGCACACCATCCCCCCCCCAGACACGTTAGTGGTGAAGGTCGCACCCAAAGGTGAAGTGGGTTTAGGGTAAATAACAGAGCGTTAACTAATCACATGCAAATATTGGCTGACCGTTGAGAGGCGGGAAAAAGTAAAATGCAGGGTTACGGACAGACCACGTATTTCTATTTTATTTCCTTTGCCTCCTCTGAAATTATGGCTGCAGCCATAAACCTTTACACCAATTAAATGGACCATTATAAATATATACATACACACGCGCGCGCGCCATCACAGCGTTTCCTCTATGTAAAATGAAATATATTGAATATTTTTTAAAAAAAGAATCCGGTTAATCTTCTCCTGTAAGTACTGCCTCTTACAAATTTGCACGGCTATTTCCTTAATGTAATTGACTTGATCTAATATGCAGAATTAAATATTAAAGAGGAAGAAAGCTGTTAATAATTGATACTGTTAATCCTGCTACCCATCCTTTAATGGCGATGGAGGGCTTTGCTTCACAGTAGATTTTTATTCGGTTTGGTTTTACTTTTCGGTCATGTTTTGGATCGTTAAAATATAGGATATTTTAACTGCCAGTATTGCTTTATCTATTCACTATACACAAATCCCTAAACAGGAAAGTGAATGGGAAGAGGTTCTGGCACATCTTTTCTTTAAAATCCAGCAAATAAATTAACAGATCCCTGTGCCATACACGGGGCGGAAATTCATTATTAAGAAATACTTTCAAAAATTGAAAGTCAGGGAAATTGGTGGGAGTACTTTCTGCGAAACAGCTCCGTCTTCCAGCCCTGGCAGGCTCTCAACATCAGCCCAAATTAAACTATTATTTAAAACAAAATATGCGTCGTAACCACATGCCATAGAAACCACACGGCATCCTCTTAGCGCGGGTCCCTGCACTTACTTATAACTTAATAACATTTTCTTGGACAAGATTTTTATATATTCAATTTCAGGGACATTGAGCACAGAACCTGGATATTTAATTCTCTCAAATCATTCACCTCACGGTTGCAGTTTGTTCTGGATCTCTGCCCAGTACAATAGAATAGGACTTTCTTTTTGTGTGTGTGTGAGTGTGTGTGTGCCTGTGTGTCTGTATGCAAGCTAAATGATGGG